TGAAACACCTTCCTGGGTTCTTCATCCTTTTTCAGTAGTGCGACATAGTGTAGTGTAACTTTGCTACAATGAAGCTTGGTTTGTTTGTTTATGATTCTTTTGGCAATTTAAGCACTGAAGCGATAGTTCCACTTATTTTGCAGGGAGAGGGAGTAGTGGTACACTGTAAAATGATATCAAAAGCACAGCCTCTTGAATATGTGCTTCTTCCGGCCAGCTACATTTGTGTGTCACAGCTGTGCTTCTATAGACTGTCAGCAGCTGCACCCTGAGACAGACTGATAGGGCCTGCCAAATCCCATTGTGACCATTTCCAGCCATATGTTGAAGATACCATAATAATGTTGATAGTAATGGGGATGGCCCCATTGAAGGGGTATTTCTCTATTTCTCATCTACACCCCTAGTACAACGGACAACAGATATGTAGCAGATATGTATATACACTTAGATATGCCTCTAGTGGCAGGTTTCACAATTTTTATGCAGAAATGTATATGCACTTAAATATTTAAGAGGGAAGCCGCATATGCTGATTAGGTTGATTAAAAGATTGAGCAGAGATTTCAAATTGATAAACCAGTGTCATAAATAAAATCTTCTGGCTTCATTTATTTACAAAAGGTTCTCTTGACTTGAAGATCATTACAATGCTCCAGAAATCTGAAATATAAAATTTGAAGTGTAGTGATTTTTAAAATTTTGTCTAAACAAAGACAGATGGCAGCAGTAGTTCTTAATGCTGATCTTGGCCTTATTAATTTTCAAGTAAGTGAGAGAAGCAGCTGGCAAAATGGGGAAAACACACCAGTTTGTGCCCATGTCAGCTTTACCTTTGTCTAGTGTGGCTAGTGGTTGACCAAAGGACTCAGCTGAGTGCAGGTCTGATGGCAAAATAATGAAAATCTGGATATATAGCACACATTGTTTCTGTTTTTGAAAAAAAAAGGGAGAGGAGGTGGGCAATAACATTTTTATTCCCTCCTCCCTTTAAAATTCCCATTATTTTGCCTACTCTCCTGGACATTGGCAGGAGAGTGTTTCAAGTGTTCCATTATGTTTAGTGCTTGCTCTGTCTTCTCTTAACATCCTTTGACAGTGTCCATTTTATACACCATTTCTTTTTCACTGGAAGTTCTGTAGAAGTTCTCTAGTAGGATATGACCTTCGTTTCTAGATGCTCATATGGCTTCTTCCAAGTATACAGTGTTCATATTTTTGTTTTGATGGATAATACAGCATCCAACCAATGAAATACATCTTAATTCAGCTTTTTAGAAACATTCTAGAAGGTCTGATACAGAGATTAAGGGAAGCACAAATTCCCATGACGTGTCTGAATTTAAAATAGTGTCAATATCCCTGCTGCCAAGGGGTGCCACATTCCTCCACCACCCCCTTTTCTAATTGCAGAGAAGGTCAGGGTGGGCTGGTTGTAAACACTGGCACCTGGAGATAACTTTGCGGAAGCTTGTACAATGTGTTCTCTAAACCAGAGGGAGAAAAGTTATCCATCCAGTGGCAAGGCGTCAAAGCCATTGTATGAAAATTCTCTTTAATCATCTGCATTGTCTATTTGGTTGATGCTGGGATTGATGGAACACTCTTCTTTGTCCTTAAGAGTTTATTGTGGACTTTAGAGGAGGTCTGCCCTTCACACTTTCTTCTTTTAAGTTCTTGTGCATTGGCTTTCCACTGAAGACAAGTGGTGCTGGCAGAGCAGTCTTTGGCTGTTTCCACACTAGCAGTTTAGTCTGGAATTGGCATTCTTTGTACAGTTGCTTTTTATAGAAAATCCAGATGATGTCATTTTCCAAGTAATTGTTTTTTTTTCCTGTGTTGTCTTCTCATGTTTATACTTACTTTGCTATTTTAAAAAAAGTTAAAATAGAGGTGGAATGGAGACAAGATATCAATAATTATAGCTTCTCCCATGGGAAACAGGGAGTGTGGTAAAGAGTAGTTTAGAGCTTTCTGTTGCTAATGCTATTGCTGTTGCCTTGATCAGGAGGCAGTAAAATGGCAAAAGCTGCAAGGAGGAAGAATATTTGTGGGAAATATTAATTGAATGGGACTTTGGAGTATACATTAGAGAAGGATATTTGTCATGGGGATAATACTACCAAAATACATAAGAGGGTAAGTCTTAGTATTATGCCTAAGTAGAGTGGACCGGCTGAACTCTGTTGGACCTAGATTAGTTGTGGTAAGTCCATTCATTTCAGTCTCTTAAGAGAGACTAATATTAGATGTAGTCTCACAAAGCCTGTGGAAATACTGTTTTCATTTTACTTTCAGCTGATTGTTGGAAAACAGTACCTTAGTAGCTTTTCAAACATCTAAAATACTTGTTCTCGATTTTGTAAGAGTTTTCTACTGTAAACCTAGAGATCACCAGAGCAAGCTCCCTAGTGATTTAAAAATAAAAACTGTTAAGTTTGAAGAACCTGTATAGATCGTTTGTTCTTCCTTGTTGTTTTGACAATTTAAGTCAGTTACGTATTTTAGAAACATAACTAAAATATATATACCTTCTAGCATTTCGCAGAAGACATAATAGTCTTACATAATTGTAGTGCCCCAATCTCCTGCCATAGATCATTGCCTTAGTACAGTATTTTGTTACGATGTGCCCCTTCTGTTGACTGCTGAATACTGTATTCTTCTGTATAATTCTGTCCATTGACTCTGTGTGAGATGGCTGGCTGGTTTGATGCCATCCTGGCCCAAGTATCATCCATCCCTGTTGCTAGGAGAGAAAGGCCTTTAGACACTTTGGTGAGAAAGACCCGAACGACCAGGAGGATGGCAACCTCTGCAGGAGAGGTAGAGGAAGGAGTGATTGAAGGAAAGGCAGGAATGATAGAGGAGGGCGATGCAAAGCAGTTGCTAAAGGCAGACACCCTAGTGGAGGAAGGAGCTAGGTCATCCAGGGGAGGGTGGGACAGTAGTAGAAGATGTCACCGAGCAGTTAGAAAAGGTGAGAATGGAAGAAAGGGGGAAAGGAAGTATATAAGGAGGAAGAAGCGGAGAGAGGGGTAGTGGAGAGAGGTGAGGTGGAAGTAAGGAAAGAGAAGAAGATAATCCCTCCAGGGTGGGAGCGGATCTAGATGGAAAAGTCCTGGACTAACAAGTGGGAAAAACCTTATGATACTCTGAGAGGAGGCTGAAAGGAGGAAGTTAGAAAAAAGAAGCAAGGGTGGGGGAGAAGAACGAGGCAAGAAAGAGTCAAGCTAGCCAGGGAAAAATTACAAGACCAGATGAAGGAGCCTGCCTGGGACAGGACATGTGAGACCTCAATCCATGGGAGATCAGGGCATTGGGAACTGAAGCAACTGGGTCTGAGGCATACCAAGGGGACTGAATGTCCACGTTGCCACTTTCATCAGGACTGGCAATATGTAACTACCATGGATATGGACAAAGTGAGATGCTCATGGACATCCCCTTTCTTAAGCAAGATTTGAATCCCTTTTTCATGCTGTTTTTTTTTTAATGAAAAGGAGGTGGACCAGATAAATTGCACATATGTCAATGCAAATGCTAATGAACAGAAGGGGAGTTGGTGTATCTGTTGTAAATACACCCATTGCACTTTCACAAATAGAAAATGACTGAATCTTTTCCTTACTATTTTTCAATGGAAGATTCTCTCTCTCTTTGTATGTGTGTGTGTGTGTGTGTGTGTGTGTGTGAGAGAGAGAGAGAGAGAGAGAGAGAGAGAGAGAGAGAGAGAGAGAGAGAGAGAGAGAGAGAGAGAGAGAGAGAGAGAGAGAGAGGAGTGGAGATCCTCCCATGGATTTCCTTTTGTGTGTGTTGGGAAGGAACATGGGTGGAAATATTTGTGTGAGAGAAAGGAGATAAGAAGTATCTGTGGATAGGATGCTTTGGAATTATGGCCAAAAAATTGTTGCTTAGTGTAATAAATTACACAAGAGTAAACCCATGGTATCAATAGGGATATAGTGAGTCAACTCCTCCATAGGTTCCATTGTTTCAAATAGGCCTACTCTAATTGTAACTTACTGTGTATGCTAAAGTAAGTCACAGAGTAGGCCATTTGAATCAACAGAACCTGAAGAGGAATTGACTCACCAAATCCCCTCTGATCCAGTGGGCCTAATCTAGTGTGATGTACTATACTAAACAGTTGGATTTGGGTTGGATATTTTATGTGAATGGGTGGATGCTTTGAATTTGTGTCAAATGGGATACTGAAGGGTATATGAATATGTGCATATTCTGTATCTCAATCTGATGTGACAATACTACAGAGAATGAAGTTGCAGTGCTCATCTATCATAAATGTCATGGTCAGTTTGCTCCTAAATAACGTATTTGCTGGTGTACAAGGTGACTGGCTGTATAAAACGATCCCCCAACATTTCCACTCAAAATATAGAGTGGACGGCTCTGCTGCGGTGCTGGCTGCCCACGGCTCTGCCTGGGCCTGCCCTGGAAATTCATGGCCGGCGGGGAGGAGGGCGAGGAAGAGGGGAAGCGGCTGGGCGGGCGGTGGCAGGAGGAGGAGGAGGAGGAGGCGGGAAGCGGCCAGGTGGGCGGGTGAGCGAGCAGCTGGCTCAGCAGCACAGGGCGGCGAGCTCTGGCCACTCAGGCATGGCCGGCTCTGCTTCCCTCTCTCCATCCGGACTGCCTGCCTGCCTTCCTCCCTGGCCAGCGTGGCCCCGCGTCACTCAACGGCAGTGGTGGCAGCTCCTTCCTGACCCAAATGAAGTGCACCCGGCATACAAGATACCCCCCCCACTTGGAGGCATGTTTTTGGGCCAAAAAAGTCTTGTACGCTGGCAAATACGGTATGCAAAAGAGAAGTTCAAGTACTGTAAGTGGCTAGATACCAAAATGTTTTGTATTCAGTGGCTACTGCCAGCACTTTTGCAGAAGCAATGAATCACACAGGGGCCCAGATTTCATTTTTCTTTGAGGCAAATCTCACTATTGGTGCACATTCTCAGTGATGGTTTCTATTTCCAACTTACCAGGGCAAAAAGAAAATCCAGAGGAAGCTTCTCACAGAATCAAGTTTCCTTCCAGGAGAGAGCAGTGGAGACTTGTTATAACTTATAATTGTATTGCACTCATTTGCACATTCAGGAGCACATTTACAATAAAGTTTTTGACAGGTGAGAACTTACAACTTTATCACTTGTTGTTTTCTGTTATTGTGCAGAATGTGCAGGAAGGTGGAGTGTTGCAGAGGAGTTGATCTGGACACCAGATACTGAGAGACTTGTGAAAAATTGTTTGACTACATAGGTCTTCCTCCTATGGCATGGTTGTCTTATACTAAGGCCAACTACCTCAGCAACAAAATATTTCTTCCCTGTTTTCAACATAGGCAATTTCTGAATAATTGAAGGCAGCTCCCAGCAGTTGTCTAGATGCTAGAGATATACTGTGCCAAATAAATAAGATGCTATTTTGAGCATATTCATTAATCAAAATGTGTGCTATAAATGTGCAATTATAAAGATGGCATTAAATAAAGTGAGGGAGTATGTAGAGCATACGTTGGAGTCATACAAAATCCAGAGAAATATATTGCTGAGGTGCAGAATATTTTTTTTCTTCTTGTATCCCAACACTATCTTTTCCTTGACTTGCAAGGCAACCTTTTCCTGCACCTCCTTTACATTTAGTTGGGACAAAAAATGGTTCAAGGATGTAGTTCTGATTACTATCCTTTCCTCACTCTTATAGGCCAAGAAGCATACTTTCCTTGCACTTTTGTCTTTGGATTACTTGAAATGAACATAATTCCTGTATGAGGGAAAGCTGTGGTCCAAACATTAATGGGCTAGGCAGTTGTTAACAATTTTAATGAATGGTAGTGCCACCTTTAACGGCATTCTGTGTCTAGTCACACTGGCCACATGACCACGGAAACTGTCTATGGACAAACGCTGGCTCTATGGCTTGCAAACGGGGATGAGCACCACCCACTAGAGTTGGACACGACTGGACTAAATGTCAAGGGGAACCTTTACCTTTACTTTAGTGCCACTTTGTATATGTACTTATACTATCTCTTCTAATTTTAATTTTTTACTTAATTTTACTTATTCAAAAGAACTTCCTTCTGTTTCAGCCATGGAAGAATTAATAGTTGAATTGCAACTGTTCCTCCAACTTCTGGATCATGAATATTTGACATCCACAGTAAGGGAAAAAAAGGCAGTTTTAAATAACATTCTTTTGAGGATACAATCATCAAAAGGTCTGTCCTAAATTATATTATTTTTGTATGGTGGGTGGTCCACAAGGAAAATGAATCCTCACTGTGGTTCTTCTTTTGTAACGTCTTTGAAATTACACATGCAGGTTCTCTCATGTCCAGAGAACATTTTAGCATTCTTGCAAAGGAGCTGGTCCTTGTGCTCATTTGTCATGCAGTACATTTTATTGCATTCTCTTCTGGTTTCAGTGGGGAAGGATAAATATATTCCCATTCAGTTCTAAGGGCTATAAGAATGGTATTTTGAGGATATTTTGTGGGTTTCTGCATAGCAAACATTAGTGACTCCTTGTAGCAAAGAATCTGCCATCTTCTCTTATTCTTGGTTGTCATTTAGTGAAACATTGTCCTTGTTTCTGTTTACTGCAACATTAAGCTTTTTTCCTTTCAATTTCTCATGTTTGAACAATTTACTGATGCCATTTTGAGTGGCTTCTAATCTACATGCTGTCTGCCTCTAGACTTTGACATGAAGGAAAATGTGCAGAAACAAGAGGTTGTCAACAATGTACCTGCTCCTCCTCAGATGCCTCTGCCAGAAATCCCTCAGCAATGGCTGGTGAGTGTTTCCTACTCCTATTAGCTGTTCACCAAGAGTGAAGTGGCCTGTCTTCCATTTTCTTCAAAGTGGAATTTTTAAACCACTTGTTTATCTGTTTGAATGTATAATCTTCTCCCTTCTAGAATATTGGATGAATAATATAGCACCATACACAGTAAGTAAATCAAACTCAGTATTACTTAAATTTTAAAAAAAGAGTCAATTAAATATTATTCAATAAAAAACTGATGATAATTACTACCATGACTAGGGAACAGTCATGGGTCTTTTCTCACAAGACCCATTTCATCTCTGTAATAAATAACATTTCGTGTTTTGCTGATATTTAGCTTAATCATTTTATTGTATTGAATTTTAATTATTGTAAGCCACCCAGAGACCTCTGGGTAGAGTGGGCGGCATATAAATTAAAATAAATAAATGAATGAATGAATGAATGAATGAATGAATGAATGAATGAATGAAGGATTTCCATTTGTCCAGCAGAGTTTGCCACCTTCTTTCCCCAATAGAATACAATTTAAAAAGCTATTCACTGGCATCATTTGATACGCCATTTTCCCTAGTTACTCTGTTACCCCCTCACTTTCAGCCAATGGCATTGGCTGTTGTTGTCCACCAAGTCTCCTGTTCATACTTAACCACCAATGAAATATATGTTCACTTTGAGTATCTTTCAGCAAGTGTTTGAATATTGAATGAATATTTTATATTTGTACTTGAGACTATCATATTCTAGATCAGTGGTTCCCTACCTTGGGTCCCCAGATGTTCTTAAACTACAACTCCCAGAAATCCTGGCCACACAGCTAGTGATGAAGGCTTCTAGGAGTTTTAATCCAAAAACATCAGGGAACCCAAGATTGGGAACCACTTTTATTGATTATTTATCAAGGAATCTCTGGCTGAAATCCTGTTGCTTAGTACAACAAGTTGCACTAGAGTAGACATTAAATTAGTGAGCATTTGGTGAATCAGCTTCTATATAAGTTCCATTAATTCAGCAAGCCTATTCTAATTGCAGCTTACTACATTAAAGACAGAGGGACATGGTGGCGCTGCGGGTTAAACCGCAGAAGCCTCTGTGCTGTAAGGTCTGAAAACCTTCAGCTGTCAGATCGAATCCACGCAACGGGGTGAGTGCCTGTCGCTTATCCCAGCTCCTGCCAACCTAGCAGTTCGAAAGCATGCAAATGCGAGTAGATAAATAGGGACCACCTCGGTGGGAAGGTAACAGCGTTCCATGTCTAAGACGCACTGGTCATATGACCACAGAAAAATGTCTTCGGACAAAACGCTGGCTCTATGGCTTGGAAACGGGGTGAGGCCCGCCCCCCTAGAGCGGAAAACGCCAA